ATAATTAGTCCTCGGCAATGCCACATACAGCCAGCATGAGAAGTTGAAGCTGTTCCACTGTGCATGAATTCTTACTCATGGCGTGTACAGGAAGCAGAGAATGAATGAAGCTATGCCCTGGTGTGTAGGACAGGTAAAATACAGGCAGTCCCCGGGTTACGTACAAGATAGGGACTGTAGGTTTGTTCTTAAGTTGAATTTGTATGTAAGTCGGAACTGGTACATATTGTAGGGGAAACTCTAGCCAAACATTTTATTGTACAGGCAGTCCCCGGGTTACGTACAAGATAGGGACTGTAGGTTTGTTCTTAAGTTGAATTTGTATGTAAGTCGGAACTGGTACATATTGTAGGGGAAACTCTAGCCAAACATTTCTCCAGAGCTCAGTTTTATTCTCCCACACCTCACTTCCCTCAGTCCTTTATTCTCAAGCTGAGGTGTCTGCTGAGAAAAGCCGCTCCCTGGTCTGGGGGGGGAAGGGGGGCGCTAGCTTCGTGTATCCCTGGTCTGCTGGGGGGAAGCAGCTAGTCCGGGGTTGCCTCACCCCGTTTGTAAGTAGGGATCTGATGTAAGTCGGATCCATGTAACCCGGGGACTGCCTGTATACAAGATCCAGTCTCTTGGCTTCAGTCACTCAACCTAGAAATAATGCAGCTTTCTAAGCCACCAGATTCCAGGACAGAGATTCTCAGGTTGTGGATCACTACCAGAGACAGGCATTTATCTCTATTCAAGAGATGTGGCTTACGACATAATCCTGTTATCGGTATCTCTTTTGAGTCTAACTTAGGTGGCTTCCCATCTAATGCACTGGCTCCTATGAACTGAATTCTAAGGTTTTTCCATCTTTTTCCCCTTCAGGGAATAGGGAGCCTAGATGCTTAATTTAGGGAAGTTTTCACCACTCATGTTTATGAAACCTAAAAGTGGGGTGGCCACCAGCACCTGTAGTGTGGTCCTGCCCTCCATGCTTCCTCTTCCCCTTGAGTTGCACTGTCACTCCTCTCCTCCCTGAGGCTACTTCTACATTGTAGCATTTGCTCATTAGCATTTTTCACACTGTCATGTGCATAGTCTTTTCCGATCAGTTTTGTGGAAGAGGTTTTTGTGGAAAAAAAACCGCAGCGAAGATGAGGCCATTTTGCCCAAAAAAACCTTTTGCGCAAGATCCCTTATCCCTCAAAAAAGGAGGTATACAGGATCTTGTGTGAAAGGGGGGGGGGGAGGTTTGGGCACAGAATGACCCCGTCTACACTGTTTTTTTCTGAGAAAACCTCTTCCACAAAACGGATCAGAAGAGACTATGCAAATGACAGCACGAGAAATGCTAATGAGCTCTTCATTTGCATTTCCTCTGCCGACAAAATGCTACAATGTAGACATAGCCTGAGACCCCATCCTCCTCCTCTTTGTTCCCTTACCCCAACCACTCTCCCTTAAAAAGTGAAGGTCTCGTGACTCACTATGTTATCTGCCTAAACGAAGCACACGAGATCTTTTATAGGGGGAAAAGGCAGTACACCACATTTATTGAGAATACAGCAGTTGCATTTGCTTTTCAATCACTCACACAAACATACACACACACAGTCCTGCCAGACGATGTTATAGTTACCAGTCCAGAGTCTGTATCAATCTAATGGCCAGCTAGATTGAACACAGAGGGGGAGCTGGGCTCTGTCGGTCGATCAATCCAATGCTCCTGGAGTGGCAAGATGAACTTAAAGTCCCATAGCAAAGGACCCTGTTTCTATAATCCTTTTCTCTGTTGAAATCAATGTATTCCGCTATGTCATTCTGTGACCACAATGTTATCTTGTTGATGTCAATCGTTCCCAAACATCTCGATGGCTCATTCTGTAATCAATCGTCTTTTTGGAGGTGCCCACTTGCTTCAAGGCTCAATCAATCTGCCAATACCCCAATCCCTCCTTATTATGGGTACACACGGGTGATTATAGATGGCTTCTCTGCCACCAGGTCATTTAGTCTTCACCCACGCTTGCTCACTCTCCTTTGTTGGTCATCTGGTTCTGAGCCATAACTTTGCACCTTATCTTGACACATTCATTCCCTTTCACACACACATAAGCGATGATACAAGGACTTTCAAGGCTATGTGGCACATCAACATCTGTATTGGTAAGAAAGAGGCATTGTAAATCAAGCAATTAAGGCCTCAGCCTTTAACATTCTTATAGTCCTCATTAACAGTCGCAATATGAGATCCTGTCTCTTTACTTACTAAAACTTTAGAACAAGGAAATATAGGAGATATATACTTAACTAAAGGATTTGACTTACATTACTAAACCTAAAATACAAATATAAAAAGAATAAAACTTTCAGTTCCAACAACTAGATTCCCCAGTTCTGGAACTCCTAGGTTTGCATAGGCCCCTAATCATTGAGCATTGCAAATGCTCAGTATTCTAGTGCCCTAAATTCCTACAAGCATAGCACCAAGTCACTACAGTGAATGTTTGCAGATGTTAAAGACTGAAGCTGTGTAAATAATGAAGATGATTGCTTGGTAAGATGGGTGCAAGCAAACAGTATCCATTTTGACAGACCCAATTGTGAAGTTATCCTTTAGGAACAAAGGCCATAGGCCTTATTTCCAGGATAGAGAATGATTCTAGTAAGTATCAACTGTGAACATGACTTGGGGGAGCATAATGGATAATAGGCTGAACATTATATCCTAGTGTGATATTGCGACCAAAACAGCTAATGCCACTCTTGAATGTATAAACAGGCTAATCTCAAGTAAAAGCAAGGTTATTTCCTTGGGTTAACATTGGCAGGACTGGAACTGGAATTTTGTGTTCAGTTCTGGTGACCACAATTCAGGAAGGATGCCGAAGAATTGGAGAGTAATCAGAAAAAACAAAAAAGAGTTGAGAGATTTTTTAAAAAATCAAGAACATTGCTTCAAAAAGTGTATTGTAAGTTGAAGTTCTGGAAAATGTTGGTGTAAATTTAAAAAGAAAGACTGTAGTTTTCACTGTAAGGTTCTATTTTTAATGTTTTCATAATTAATCAGAGGAACAAACCCAAGCAAGTTTTCTAGTGTTAAAATTTCCCACAAAATGGAAATTTTGAGGTATAAGTAGATTTGGTTACCTCACACTTCACTTTTCATATCTTTTCTTCCTCTTCCTGAAGTCAATGGCAGAAACCTATCTTCTGTCAGAACTCAGTCAGGCCCTTAAATGTTATAAGGAAAGGTCTAAATAGGCAATTTTTCTTTAATAATCTATTGGGCTAACATGATGCAATTGTAAAATGGCTTTACAGAAAGCTATTGATTTTCACATTTTTTAGGTCCTATGTCAGATGGTTCTTGCGTTTAAAAAAAAAGTATTTGTTCTACGATGGTGCTGAGTAACATCAGAATGTTGAATGCAGAAAGTTGGTTTCCTTTTGGCATGCAAGTGTTTTTTCCAGTGTTCCCATACACCAAAAATGTCACTTATGGCAGTGAATGCCAAATACTGATGACCTTTTTCCAGAAAGCTGGCAGATCAATCTATATGCAATCTACTGCCTAAGCACTGCCATACTGTACAGAAAAGCATTCTGTAAACTAGCTGCACCATACATTTAGTGACAGGAGAAAGATGCTCAAGATGTTCAAATATTGGCCTGTGTCAGATCTCCCTCCCTGGACATCCAATCCTCAGCACTATTCACCTGTAGAACTCAAGCTAATTTACAAAAGGATTCAAATATCATTACCCCCATTTTTATAGGAGGGCAGGGAGGGAAGCAAGGCAGATATGTAGCGACTTGCCTAAGGTGACAAAGCAGACAGTTTCCCACATGGAAAGCAGTACATTCTAGTTGCACACCACTTCTCAGATAAGTACAGAAATCCAGGTTCATCCCATGGTTCACTCACCTAGAAGTTCGAGTGCAGTCATAGTGGGTGGTGTACCACTGACTGCAGAGATGTTTCGGTGGTGCTACTTTCCAGAGCTGGAAGCACTGAAACCCAGGTTCAGGAGTGGCCTAGACTAAGAGTTGACTGAGGTGCTTGCTGAATACATCCTACAAAGAGAAAACATCATGTCGCAGACTTGGAAGAAGGGAGGTCAATGTGGAGACTGAATCATCTGTTTCCAGGAAATCTGTCCCTTTGGGGCTATTAGGAATATTGACAATAGAAAACTTGGTAAACTAAGACTCAGAATAAATCAAGCTACCTCCACAGCATAGGTAGCCACTGCAGAGATCTATTTAACAATAAAGAACTAGCAGCCAAGTTAAGAGCACTGGTATTGCAACTTTGATGTGACTTGCAAGAGGCATTTATTAAGAATTGGGTGTGCCTTTTCGCTTTTTTATCATGCTTCCAAAGAAGGTTTAAACACTTATTACTCTGATCACCTATATCTCCGCAGCATCACTGGTGGGAGCAGGCAGCAGAAGCAAAGTTCTACAGGTTTTTAACGTTAGATATATCGAGCTAAATTTCCCTCGATTTGGTGGAATACCGAGTTGGAGAGAGGTGCTTAGAAAAATGGCATGGTGCACTTCCACATCCTCCTTGAATGAGAAGAATTACATATTTTAAAATAATGATCTTTTTTCCACAAGTGTATTATGTGATAGACTTAGAAAGGTGTTAAAAAACAAGTTCACAGTAGGACTAAACATGTCTTTTCCCTCAGTTGTTCAGTTTATAGTCTCTGCATGAAAATTACATCCTCAATGAGAGAAGGGTTAATATTTCAAAACACCAGCCAAACACCTCTTTTGGAGAGGTTCAGAAATCCTCACATTAGTTCCATATACTATAAAGCAGAAAAAAGAAGGAGACATAAGCCCATTCCCTCTCCCCATTTCTTTTTTCAGGTCCCCTTAATAATTAGAAAGCTTCCACTTGGAAAGCTTGAGGGTCATTCCAATCAAATTTGACATTGCCCCCTCATCAAGAAATAACTATTGCCAATAAAATTCAGTCAAAGTCAAAACATTCCACAAAAACATCAATTTCAACAACGTTTCTGATTGGAAGGCTTCTCAGGTCGTAGAATTTTGTAGAAAGCAAGTCCCAACTGTACCCACCTTTCCAAGAAGCTACTACAAGTAGGATCTAAAGAAGACAAAAGAATAGAAAAGGAGTACATCATCTCCAAATGTGTTTGTTAAACACAGAGGAAACAACCACCACCAACTCAAAGACTGAGAGACAGGTGGGAGAGGGGAGGAGAGGGGAAGCGTGATAGAGTGCAGTGTTAGGATCAGTACATAAGCTGGACAAACTGGCAACGTCCATCTTCATCTGAACTCTGCTCTAGGAAGTCCATGTTCACACCACACAGTTTGGTGCAGCTATGGGACAAAGGCAACCCCAAGGGAAGTTTGAATACAGCTGCAGTAGTCCGAAAAATAGAAAAGCAGCACATTAGCAATAGACATAACCCGAGTTAGTTTTAAACCTTCCCATTTCACTTCAGACAAAGATTTCAGGCAACATTCCTAGAGACAGTTAATTTAGAACCAACCCTTCCAAAAACATCGTAAGGCACACCCCAGTAAACAGATATAAATTAAAAAGGAAGATGTCTGACAATTTCAGATGAAAACTCAAACATCATAACCCCTTTAATTACAGACTAGGGGAATGTGAGGGTGATGAAACTGTGGTGTCTAATGTAAATGGTGAGTACAATAACTTCAAGTTAGAAGATCTAAAATATTTTATATAAAATATTCTCTCTTAAGGAAGCTAACAGGGCCAAGGTAGGTGGAAAGGGGAGGGGGGGAGGAGGAGAAAAAAGTGAAACACACTGACCAGCCACAAGAGCCACTCTCACCATGTGGTTACCACAAAATCTGCCCGACATAAGCAACCTCCTATTTAGTCTATACAAACATACAACCATACTACTACTATTCTAGAAGTAAAACAAAAAAACAAAAAGCCAGGAAAGCAGTGAGAAGACAGCACTCAACAGGAGCATGGGGTGGGAAATGAGTTAGACAGAATTTGGAGAGCTCAAAGACAAAGATAGACTATCATCATTTTAATTAACTATTTCTTGACTAGCACTATTTTCTCACTGAGCTGGACAAGGAACCTAGCAACTACTGCTAATTAGGAGAAGCTTGTTTCTCCTTGCCGGCAAAGACTAGACAGAAAAGGCATAGTGCTGTGTGATTTCCCAGCTCACTTGGTACAGGTTATTTAAACAAGAATCATGAGCCTAAGAACAACACATTGTTGCACTAATTATTTGTAGTAGAATGTTAATGCAATTTATGAGCAAGAGATGCTGGCCTGCCATAATTAGGTTTTGAACCATATTGCCTAGGGCCCATGCTCTGTACTTTTTCCTTTGCTGCACAAAGCTTCAGCTCTACATTTACCAGAAATAAACAAAGCTCTATGACATTTCTCTTATGCCAGGCCTAAAATTTTCCTCTAATATTTGGGGCAAACTGAAAGATGTTATTTTAGACCTCTCTAGAACAAGAGGTGTTTTCATTTGAGACTTTCTGGTTTGGTTCCTAATATCTTGGCTGAAATACTCCGTAGTGCTAGCCTTAACCAGGGAAACGGGGTGTATTTCACACTTAGCTACACCATGCTAGCTGAAGCCAAACTTTTTCTCTTCGTATAGCTACAGGAAGCTAGGCTACAAGTTGATCAACTAATATAGTAAAGAAGTTGCCGTGAGTTTAGGTCAGTATTAGCTAGTATATATTTGGTTACACAGATCCAACCTCAACTCAGCAACCTTTTCTATTCAAATCATTTCCCCTCCTTTTTTTCAGAGGACATAGGGGAAGAACTGGTAATGCTTATTTGTTCTTAGGGTCAGGGAAAAGAGGTAATTGTCTCAGGTTAATGGTTATGAAGCTATTAACTACATACATCAGGATTTTCTGAACCTTGCAGAATCTCTGGTCTAATCTAGCTTTAATGGCATAGCTGACAGCTAGGAATGCTGTGCTATGAACATCTACAGCACGAGAGGTACCATTTTTCAAAGTTGGTGGGGGATGCTTGACCCCATCTGCGGCCAAGACCCAGCCCCTACCCTACCACTTCCTGGCCTTCACACTGCCCCATTCTAGCTACTCCCCTGAACACCCTGTAACCTTGCTTTTACCCCCTCAGCACCTCATCTATGCCACTGAGCAGCTGATGTACTAATTGCACAAATCCAAACACCCCAGCCACTTCTCCAAAACCCTGCACTGCACTAGCTCCATTCCTTCTCCCTCTGCTGCCTACTCTCCCCCACCCTTACCAGAATGGGGCAGTAGATTGTGGAGAATGTGGGCTCTAACTAGAAGGGCAGATTGGAGTGGGGGGCAGAGATAAGGAGTTTGGGTTGCAGGAGGGGGCTCAGGGATGTGACATGGGTATTGTAGAACCAGCTCTGTTTCCCCTCTGTAGGAAAACAGAGAAGGGAGGAGAAAACAGAACTGGAAAGTTAGATCTTACCTAGCTCATGAGTCAGATCCTGTCACTAGAGCACACTCACATTTCCCTGGGACTTGGCTGGAACTTAGTTCCAGCCTTTACAGGCATACTTTAAGGTGCATTTAAACATTGCTCTGCTCAGCACTGCAAGGCCCATGTGTCATTCAGTCAATGAAATCCATGACTGTAGCCCCTGAAATGCTGAAGGGAACACTGCCTAGCTGCTTTCAGAGAATGTCTGACCCTAGAAGTAAGCACTAGGGCCATGTGGTAGATTAAGCCTAGTATCATCCTCCAACAGGAAACCCAGTACCACATATTTGAAATCACATTTTACTGTCTCATGTGACACGGTGGTTTACTGTGTCTTTTGTCCATATCAGAAAGAATATGGAGGCTACAGAAAAGCTGTACTACATGCTTTGATGTGGAGTATCAAATTGAGATTACTCACTGTGTAGAAGAAGGACTAAAAATGGAGTGTCTAATGTTTCAGTGCCAAGTGTGTAATGCAGCTTTGATACCAATTCCAAATGATTGTGAGCATACTATAGCACATGCCCAGCAAGAATATCCTACCTTTATGCTGGGACACTAACTCAAAAACCCCTTCAAGTGGTAACCCTGTAGTGAAATTGGCAGCTGTGACTCTTGCCTTATTCCCTGACAGAGCAGTCAGGGCAGGACTAGCTAATAAGCCTCTGCTAGAGCGAGGGTAGGAATTGTAGCCAGGTCTACTCAGAAGCTGCTACTGCAGAAGTGTGCCTCTAGCCGTAGGGAAGAGAGGCTGCACTACAAGTAATGGGCCATAACAATAGTTTTATGAGTTTAATGAACCTGAGTAGCTAACGTAGATCTAGTATCAAGCCCCTGACTAGTTCATTATAGTTAACTGGAAGTCTGCCATTAGTGCAATAGGCTAACTTCACAATGGCTGCTACTGAGACAAAGGGTATATATTTTGCAGGACAATATGCAGATGCTCATGTCACTGATAGAAATGAAATGCATCTAATAGAAAGAACACAAGAGTATTTTGTTCAAATGCAGTGATATTTTTATTTAAGACCAGTGGTATTAGACATAGCATCTGGAGTTAAGTAATTACCCCCTACCATTTATACATCACCCTAGGTCTGGTTTCAGATTAAGAACTCTGCAGCCTAACAGTTATTCTGATCAATATTTGGCATTACAATTATTTCTTCAGATCAAAACACTGTCTTAGCTGACATGTTTAAGAGTCATCTGAGATCTGGGCTAGTACTAGGAAGCTGTGCCATGTATGTCTGTCCTGTAGAAGTAGGCTAGTGTACAGGAAGTCAAAAGGAAACTCTGCACATGAAGAATTCTTCCTTTCTTGAAGTGAATTTGTTTCCAGGTCACAGGTCTTCCTTAATCAGACTTGGATGCTGTTGCCACTTCCTCTTCCTTTGCCTCAGCTTCTTGGGTTTGCTGTTCCAGGGAATTTGCAGAGCCCTTACCTGATGGGGCAAAGGGTCCCACAATCCAAGACAGAGGTGTATTCTGCATCATGTATGTCATCAGCTCATCCACATATTCCTGGGCCTTGGTCACCATCTCCTGGCTCTGTTTCAGGAGGCTGCTGGAGAGATCCTGGAAGGAACGGGCAGTAGAAAAGGAAGCATGGAGCTCTCCCATGTTGCGAGACACCTGTCGCACCTTGTCCTGAAGGTTGGCAGGGAGACCTTGAATGCTGGATACTAACACCTGGCAGGCATCCTGCAGTTGCTGGAGAATGCTGCGGGACATGGCCAGAGTCTCAGACTCCATCTGATGGGGATGGACAAAAGACCTCATGTTAGTGTTCAACATAAAAGATTCCAGACTTGCAGCTCTGGAGGCAGTGCTAGATGTTTACCATTAATACCTTGTAGCATGTTAAGGAGCTCTAATGGAGAGCCAGTGGTCTTTAAACATGCATTCTTTCAGGAGAAAGGCAAGGAGCAATATGGGTCCCTTAGATTAAGGAAGGCTATATTGTCAAGCTGCTAGTACAGGCAATAAGCCATCTAGCTCTCCTCTGACTCAGCTTTGTCAAGTGAGTGACCAGTGTGGTTTTGTTACAAGACACATGAGCTTGGTCTGCAGGCTGTGCTGAGGTTTGTTGTAAGCTTGGTTAAGGAGCAGAGTAACTGAACTCCTTGATGGGCACAGAGTTGCTCATGTGAGCACATTAAAGATGTGTAAGCAAGGAAGAATACTTCCATTCTGCTCAGGAAAAAAGACAGTATTTAAAAATTGACCCTCTAAAAAAAAAAATCCCCTTAAGTTCTTTGGATCAATAGCTGTTCAACAGCCCTGCAAGGCAGAATATTGGCCAACCAGATGAGCAGGCTATGTATCTACCTCTGGGGTTGCCAAGTCTGTGATCTCACTGCCTTCTGGCTGACTCCTGTTCCAGTTCAGCCACATGTGCTGGAACTTCTCCTGAAGATCTGGAAGTTTCACACCTTGCTTGATGTAGTCAATCTAAACATGGGTAGAGAGCATGGTTATTGCCTACATCAATGTTTTCCATTTGCACATCTGTTGGGCGAGCTCTACTGCTTGGGGCATGCCTTCACCCCATAGATGGGGCTGCTCAATGCAGCAAGAGTACATAGCAGACTTGACTGACATGCCTCATTGTACCCTGATCACCACAGGAGAAAGTGGAAGGGTTTGCTGCCCTGAAGGGCAGCAAATGCAGTCTTCTTTCCATATTTTCCCCCAGGCACCTGGGCCAGAGACTAGGAGTTCAGCTTGGAACTAGCAGAGTCTTACCAGTCCCATGGTTTGTTGAAGCTGGGAAAGCGCCTCACTGATGCTGTGGCTGGTGCGTCTCATCTTGTCCAGGGAATAGCGGTAGGCGCGCTGGCGGAGTTTGGTGGACAGGGAACCTAAACGCACAAAGGTGCCGCAGACACTTCAGCCCCTTCCATGGATTCTGCAAGTTCCGCTAGAGGGAAGAAAGGGAAGGTTGTTCTCCAACCTCTAGCGAGGTGAGTGAAGATGCACAAGTAATACTAGAACCTCTGCTCAATCCTACCTCACCTCTTAGGACCTAGGAAACTTGTGCTATCCAGTGCCAGAGAAGTAGCTTCAGCATTTAGGGTCAGTTACACCTTCTTAATGGACACCTCAATTTTGCATGCTTGGACAAACTATTTGTTGAAGGAAGTTTCATGCCCATCGGTCCATCTGGCATTGTCCTACTCCCACTTGCTCAATTAATATTTACTGGGTACCTGCCCACTAACTCAAAGCGAAGGCACAAAGGTTAAGATAACAATGCTGTGGGATAAGGCTGTATCTAATCGCTCAATGTAAGAGTCAGGAGAAGCCTAGAAAGAAGTTTGGACCAGAGGGAGGGTTATTCTGGCCATAAAGACAACTGCCCCATCATTCCTGTATTCTGACCTAGTTCATCCTCAGTCATGGGGAGGTAGTGATCCAAGAGCGCTTCAGATTTCTCCAGCATGGCTTCCATCCCACTTATGGCCAGTTGGCCCATTCTCGATTCCGCAACAGTGCTCATGCCCTCTGCTACCACTGATCTGGTGGTCTTCATACCATCCTGCATGGCCTCTTTGGTCATGTCCACCGCTCTGATCATGCTCTCCTTGACATCTGTCAGTCTGGATGATACCAGCTCCTGTGTGTCAGATATGGTCTAGAAAAGGATCCAGGAAGACAATTACTTCCTAGGAATTCAGGGCACTAAATCAGTGACCCCTAGCTATTGAATTCAGGATAAGGGATTACCACCACCTATTCTTCCCTTGAAGACTTACAATCTGTGGGGTTGAACTGCATAGGTGATCATATTTCCCTATGTGATTATGGACACCTGTTAAAATTACTCATTTGAGTTCAGTGACAAAGTTTCAGTGCAATTGTTCAAATGAAGATCAGGTTGACTAAGTCACTGCTAAGGAAGGTCTGTGCAGTTGGATTGTTGTTCTTGTATCCAAGACTTTAAAGTTCATGTGTGCTGGGGGGGGGGGTAAAGGGTAGGTGGAGAACCAACTGACCAGACCTTCTCTGCTGAATGGTCATTGCCCCCCCCCCCCAGACAAAACCCATCTATGGTACCTGCTGCCACAGAGGCAATAGGTGTGCCCCCACACACAGGGCCACATGCCTGCCTGCACAGGTTTGTCATTTACTCCAGAACATGACCAGCATCTGCCTTTCAGCACTGCAGGAGGCAAGGGATGGGAGCTTCCCTCAGCCACAGGAAATGGGAAGCATGTTCTGGCCAGGCTCATTCTTTTCCCCTGTGGCTTGAAACTGCTTTTCAACAGAGTAGTTTGTCCCTCCCTGCACAAGCCTCCAGGATGCTTCAGACATCACCTCAGTGCCTCTTGTCCCCCAGCTACAGTGCAGGCTGACAAGGGTTAAGCCCTAAAGGTGGTACTATGCTCCAGAGCCCAGGGAACTTGATTGTAGGGGCTTCAGCAAGCTCACCCAGATGTATTCTCAGCTGAGCCATCTCTGGATGACAAAGATGTCTCAGGGCAGGACTCAGGGAGAGGGGAGCAAGGTGGAGCATGCTGTGTCCATGCCCAGAGGGCTGCATTGGAGCCAGCAGAATTAGGGCACAGACTGGAAATAGCTGATTGACAGACACTTTCATATATGCCAGTGCAATGAGGCTTTGAAGACCACATGGCTTGGCTCCTCCTGGCCAGGCTCCTCCTGGCCAGTGCTTTGGCCAAGAGGGTGTTTGTTTCTGATGGTGTTGCCTAGCCAGAGGCAGTGGGGAGCAAGGAGCCAGCTTGCCTGGCTGTTGGTGAGCTGAGTGCTCTTATAGGGCTGGTTCTCTGCAAAGCTTAGTAGGAACATCCCAGTTTTAGTGATTATACACCATTCCAAGCATTTAAGTCTTCATGTATTGAGTCTTTGTTGCATACACTACTAATACAATAGCTACCACAGATTTTTATGGTTGTTGGTTTTAGTTCTGATTCAAAGTGGCATAGTAAGAGAATGTATTACAATAAAATAGCAAACAAAATTAAGAGAGCAAGGAATGTATGGGAGGTAAGTGGCAAGGTCACCAGTGGACCAGATGCTAGGGAAGGACCAAAACCAACAAGAGGCACCAGAGATTACTGCATACCAGAAGAGGGCAGATGGGCAGCCCAGGACACTGAGGGAAAAGGCAAGCATTTACCAACTGGGACAAAATAATTCATGGAGACCAGCTTAACATGGCAAAACAAAGATAAGGAGCAAGAGAAACAGTCTGAGATCGCAAACATCCAGATAAACAGCATGATGACATAAGACTGATACTAATGGAGGCAGCGTGCTATAAAACTGTTTTGCCATAGTTTTGGGGCAATGTCTTGCCAAGACTGGTCCAGATTGATGCTCCAATATAGCCCCCTGCTCCACCATCCATCATCGACTAGTAAATAGAACATTGATTGGGACAGTGTCTGTGTGTGCCTATGCTAACTGATTTGCCATTGTATTCAGACATAGCATATTGCATTTTCCCCCTGAAAAGAGTGTCTTATATGCATAAGAGCACTAGCAATGGCAAGTGGCCCATGGGGGAGCAGTGAGGCTAGAGAGGCAAAGCAGGGAGAGGACAATAAAAAAAGGGAGCATATGAAGGGCCATTCAGTTGTGGTGCTTTGCTGCCCACACTCACTACTGGCTAGAAATGGAACAAGCCAGCTGAGAGCAAGCATGCAAAAGGGGCTGCGCCGATGGACCAGCAGGAGGAGAGCTTGGCCCAGCTACCACTTACACAGCCACTCCTGTCAATGGCCACTCGAGCCCCTCTTCCCATGGGCCACTGGTGGGCTGGCAGCTGGTATCCTCCATTAGAGTTTTGGCAGGTCCTGATCATGGCAGGAGACAAAATACTAGACAATGTGTCTGATTTTAATAAAAAGGTAACCTTCAGGAGGTCTTAAAGGAACTCTTCCAAATTTAAGATCAAGGCATTTCCCCTACACCTTGCAGTCAAGCTGTGGACTGGTATTTAGGCACTGGCGCGCCTCTCAACCACTTTTAGCATTGAGTAGTCCTCTGCTAGAGGAAGCGGCCCATGAATTGCTTTCTCTAAACCCTGGCCATGTCTGTGTGGGGTGAGTTACCTTCTCAGCTGTCTGCTGAAGGGTTGGTAGATTCTCCTCCACTTTGTCAGGTACTTCAGAAGTCACCTGAGTTCCTGTTGCTACTGTAGAGACACACACACTAGTTTAGTTTCCTGAGTCTGTCAAACTTGCTATTTTACTGTTTACAGTAGTTGGCTCATATACATAATGTGTTCAGGCAACAGTTTTTGGTTCCAGGTGTTCACGCTATTCCCCCTCCCTCCCCATTCTGTCCCTGTTCAAGGTGATTCTCTCCCCCATGATATGTTTACATAGGTAAAGAGGATTTCATGAAATCCTCTTTTCCACAGTACTTCAGTGCTCACTCCCATACATCTGTCATTTAGTTACCCAATCAAAATGGTTGTTGAATCAAAATGCATCCCCTCCCCCCATACTTGCTGCAGCATTCATTCTTGCCCATATATTCTAGGCATTAGTTTCCAGGCTCCTTCTTCAAGTTTGTGTTCTGGATAGAGTAGCGGCTGGCCCTAGTGCAAGGGTCTCACTCCACTGTCTCACAGCTTTGAAGCCTTTTGATCAGATCTTTAACTAACCTTCTGGCAGGCACCAGGAGGTCACCACCACACTTTGGTAACCAGGTCAATAAACTGTCCTCATGATGGAGAAGTCAAAGAGTGGCCATTGCTGCTCACATCAAGCAATAGCCCAACAAGAAGCAGGTTAGTGTTTTTTTAAAAAACTGTTAGAGTAGCAGCAGTGGTGTTGGTCCAGAGGCATTAAGGATACAGTTAAACCAATTTCTGTTCATAAGTCTAGTTATACCATCTTATTGCAGAGCACTGAGGTGTTACTTTGCAGTTAGATCTTTCACACTGTTGCTCTTGAAATGAGAACAGCAGAGCCCTGATCTCTACC